ACACCGTACAAACACGTTTACGGTAAGGTGAGAAATGACATCAGACTGCTTTGCATACCAGAAAGCACCACCTCAATGAGGTCTCCTTCGTGGATGTCTTCAGCTGCAGTCAGCCTCTGCAGGATGTTCTCATCGTTTAAGTCGTGGCGGAATAGCAGGATCTTGTCGTACATGCCAAAGAAGCCGCACTCCGGGAACTGGAGAGAAAGGGAGATACAACAAAATAAATAAGCAAGTTTAATTGTAGGCATAACGAATACTGGTAAAGTATTTATGGTTCTGCTCTGCAGTGGCTCAATATCTAACACAGAGCATTTAAAAAGGTGTGGATCAGCCAGTTGTCTTGATTCTTTTTTCAAGCACGCACACACTCACATTATGTCATTTCCAGCAGCTTACATCACCGCTTGCGTGCAGTATTGTGAACCCAGTGGCTCAGGAAGAGAGCCCCTTTCCTCCCTCAGAGTAATCGACACTATATACTTGGAATAATTCAGTACAGACTAATTCACGTGATCAAAACGAGCGGCTTGCATTTAAACCCGTGTGTTCTGCATTGTGCTCTTTGACTTTTCTAAGTCATCTATTAAGACGAATTGATGACGTGTCTGCTTTTGTTGAAGTGTTTCCGCTGGATCTGAGCAGCTTTCTGCAAAAAGATGAATCACCTTCATCCAAGCGTGTCTAAAACGCCCGACAGCAGCTATCGCCGCTCGCAGCGTGTTGACCAAAACAAACCTTGACAAGCTGGTCGTGAACTGCAGCTGAGTGTGCGACATAAAGTCACGTGACCAAGGAAAGGGGCGGGGTAGAGGGTGGGAGAGGTAGACGGGGAGAAGGAGGAGGTAAACATCCTGAGAGGAGTTCAGAAGAATCAGCATACAGGAAGTGCAGCGCCAGTCAATACTGAGTCACTTCCTGTGGTGAGGGCAGCTCATAACCTCTTAGAAAGCCGTGTTCTTGTCACAGGGAAAGGCCTATAATGAAAATATCCACTGTGCATGCGGCGAAACGGCAGAGTTTGCCCAGTGTTGTCGTGCTGTGGCTCCGCCGCACGTCTGTCGTGTTTAAAAGGAGGAAACGCCATCAAAAGGTCAAATCAAAGTGAAACTTACTGAACATCTACTTGGCAAGGATCTCTCCTCTGTGCTCAGACTTTTCAAAGCTCAAAGGAGAAATGTGCTTTGAATACCAGGAACCTGCGCAGCATAACAACACATCTGCACACCTGACACTGCGGAAAAAGTCCAGCGACCCTCAGTGAATTTTCAAAGCTGTCCCTGCACGGATCGGGAACTGTGACGCTGTAGTTTAACGCCGAGGCAAGAGCCCAGCCTTGATGCCAAGTAGGTTGGTACTGAAGAATCCACCAGCTGTTTCCCCCTGAACCAGGGTCACATTCAATGGGCCACACAGAACAATGCCGCTGTGTCCTGGGAGTACCAGGGGTTGGTACCGTGTCTGGGCACAGGACACATAAGACACCTGGTGGCTTATAACTGCCAAGAAACACAGAGAGAGAGAAAGCGAGACAGATTGATGGCCTGGGGAAATCATGAGTGAATCACATGACTTGTGTCAACTAAGCCTGAAGGATGAAATGCCTAAAGGTAAAAATTTAAACTCTGCAAAGCAACCGATAACCGATGGTGCTTCAGTCAGTAGTGGAATACAGATGCATGGTAATAAAGGAGCTGGACCCCCCAACATGCACTCGGCACTCCCACTGTGGAGGGGAACAGTGTCCCCCCGGGGGAAGTTATACGGCAATGGTTTTTTCCACTGAAAGGCCCAACAGTGGGGTGCTTACAAAAGCATTCATGCACTTTCAGCAGGCTTGTTCCAAGAAACATGTCTTCTAATAACAAAAAATACTCAAATATGGTAGTGTGCAAAAGTCTTGAGCCACCCCTCATTCCCTCTCATGTTCTTATGACATTGGCTGCTTTTTCACCCATTTTCACAGGAACGTTATGGTTTCCTTGTTAAACCACCACACAATCATTCGAGCATAAAAAGAGCGCCTAAATCAAGAAATGGACTTAGTACTAGGGATGCAACGATACCAATTTTTTCAAACCGATACGATACCGATACTTGGATCTGAGTACTTGCCGATACAGAGTACAAAAACCGATACTTCTACCACACACACACAAATGCAGACAAGTTTTATTTTATTCTCTGCCGATAAAAAATAAAATCTTAATAAAAATGACCACAAAAAAAAAAAAAAAAAAAATTTCTTCGGTTTTCCAAAACCTGAGTTAAAGTTGGCTGTTCCACACTGCTGACATTTTGTTTAGCCTAGCTACAGCAGCCTCCAGTTTCTCTTTTTTATCTGGAGCCGCCAGTCTCACTCGCCTAACCCTGTGCCTGTTTAGTGCAGGATGTCCCCCTAGTGGCCAATCTAAAAAACTACAACAGAAATGACAAGCCACCCTCTGATTAATGAAATAAGTTGGTATCGGTTCATGGTATCGGTTAACTTTTACGAGTATGAGTACGCACACATTTTACAGTATCGGCCCCGATACCAGTATCGGTATCGGTGCATCCCTACTTAGTACGCATCATTTGTTCTCATGTCTTCATCTGAATCTATGGATAATGATAAAGATAACACAACTTAAGTCAGACAAATAGTTTTTGGAGCTATTTGCTGAAAACCTGGAGTATCTCAGGATGGTGTGAAATGTGTCCTTAAAAACATGAAAGTGGAGGACAAAAGATGAAACAGCAGGCTTAAAAACCTACCTACAGCAGCTCAACAGTATCTGAAGGTCATGTGCTTATGAATAAATAAAAAAAAAGCCCAGTAAAGACCAGACATGGGACCTGAGAGATGAGACTTTCATCGGAAACGTCTCAGTGGAAGAGGAGGTTAGGAGAGTGCTACAACAGTCAGTTTGTGCAAAGCACGGTGGAGGCGCTGTCATGGTTTCTGGCTGCATTTCATCCCGTGGTGTTGGAGGTAGAAAAGCACCATTAGATTTTGATCCAGCATGCAGCACCATCTGGAATCTGTCTGATCAAACTGGGAATCGTCAGAAGAAAAGAAGTTGTGCATGTGCAGCGACAGCCTGGATGTTCTCTTCCTGTTCTCCAGATGTTCCACTTTTGCACAAAATGCTAGCTGCTCACACGTTAACACTCTCGCTGGCTGACTACCTGTCAGGACAGACGCCTCCCTCCTTATTGCACGCTGGGATAATTTTCCCCACGACTCCATGAATGACAAATGTATTTCTATTTGTATCCCTACTCCTGCTCAGTCATGACGTAAACCCGTGCACTGACCTCACCACAGCAACTACGTGGCAACATAATCCGTATAGGAAGACTATTTCAGTTATATCCAAACTGCACGAGAAGCTGATTTTGCTCATGTGTAAAAACAAGGCACGCGACTGTAGAACGAAAGCTTTCCAGCTCGACGCCTCGGCTGACATATCTACATCCTAATCCTGTCACGCTTTCAGGTGATTAATGCTGTATGGCTCAAACCATCAGCACCAAAGGCGGTGAGGAGGGGGGCATCCTTCCTGAGGCGGCTGCAGTGTCACGGTAGGGTTTTCCTCCACCCGCCTGACACGCCTGCACTTGGACACGCAAACGCACGCACACACAAAAGCTGAGGTCGATGCCCATATCTAGCCAGCTTGAGTCACCTCCTCTTGGCTCCTCGTGCAGCACTTTCCAGAGTCCCATTCCAGAGCATCTGCATCTGCAGAACATAGCAGCTCCGAGGGCAGAGGACATTACTTTTTTCCATGCCCTACTAAAGTAAGAGGAAGCCTATGGTGCAAGAACAATAGACGGGCAGGTTTAGGACAACGTTTTAACAGTTTGTTGCTCTGATCGCAGGCGTAGAGGGAAAGCCGAAGGCCGACTTGCGGGTGGACGGACGTATAAAGCGCCGCATTTATACATTCTCTCCTTCCCGCATGCAAAAATAAACCATTCACCTCCAGCGTGCGCCCATGCACATATACATCCTTACACGCCATCACCCACACACGCTGCTGCATACATTTCCGAAGCCCGTAGTGACTAAGCGCGTCTTTTGTCATCTTCGAACGAGTCCATTCAGCCGAGCAGCCGCGACCACACACGTACACCAAAGACCCCGGCGAAGAGAAGCTGTGTGAGGTCCACAAGTCAGGCTGGAAAGACAAGTGGAAAGGGGCTTTGCAGTAGTAAGCTTTTGTTAAACGAACTAATCCGCCATTGATATGCTAAATCCCGCTGTAAGGAAAGAGAGTAAGAGGCAGGAGATGAAGGAAAGCGGGACAGATTTGAAATATGGTCGCATTTTATTAGAAGCCGAAAACAAATTATCTCAAGACGGCCAAGAAAAAATGATCTGGCTGGAAAAAAAGGCGTAGCTTTGAGGAATATTGATGCTTATTCCTATCAGACAAAATGATAAATGAGTGAAAGGAATCACAAGTCGTAGCTCGTGTATTCTGCTGCTGTACAATTCCTGCACGAGGGCCTCAGTCACAGAGGACAATGAGTTTGTTGTGAAACAGGATGGCGTGCACCTGATTATGTGGTTAAACATTTGTGTTTCGCTGCATGTGTGGCAGAGGTGAGGGCGAAGCGGCGCTAAGAGCATCGTGCAGGCTCTGACAGATGGCCGCGTGTTCGCAGTAAGGAAAAGCATGCAGCTTGACCTCGGGCTGCCTGACACCTTTATCGGTGTGGCAGCGAGCCAGACAGACGTGGAGGACGTTAAACGTCCAGCTCGTCATCGCAGCGCCAGAGATAAAAGTTGGACGATGGAAACGATGCTGCTCGTGGGAAACACGCAGAACTGCAAACCACAGTTATTTTCATCTAGTTGTCATTTTCTTGATTAATCCTTTGATGCTTTGGTTTGAAAAGTAAGAAAAGTGTAGCTCAAGTTTGACAACGCTGACGTTAAACCGCATATTTGTCTCATCGACGCTGCAAAATGTACGGATACTCAGGAAAACTGTAGAACTGTAAAATACAGAATAGCTGACATTATTATTATTATAATTTAATTCATTCTCATTCCAGCGTTTCAGGGCACCAACACGAGAAGCTTTCACAAATACTCTTCCCGTTACATTTGGCATCCCATGGTCATGTGAATATTTCTGGATACTCTGACTCAAACGATTGTGCCGTTTTCCTTATAACACTGCAAATAACTAAATCAGATATG